CGTGTGCTCTTCCGATCTATTAATATGATTGGTTTATACATTTAGATCCATGAAGAACTAAAGGCAAGAACTAATCATGTTGAAGAATCTCACAACAGTTGTAAAGCTGTTTTCTCTGCTGAACGCAGCCAATGATTTTCAAATTGAACGAAGAAAAACAGGAAAACAAGGAACCGAGTCATCGTGACGGCGAGTAAGGACGACGCGCAGAAGTTCGCATCTCTTCACATGCCATAACCTGCAAATACACTTGCCTTCCGTTTAGGTGTCATCTTTGCGGCGCTACCTCTCATTCAGTTGGCAGACATCGCTGAATATCATCTTCGCCAAAATGTTTTCGCGTTTCTCATCTGACTTACGCCCGCACGGATCGCATCGCGCTTTAAAAGAGCATGTTATTTACAAAGCATATACATACACTGTACGGTCTGATAGTTGATACACATTAACGCTTTGTATACAAACCTTAAGCTCACCTCAAAGCTCACCACGAGTTGCCCTAACTTTAAGCTCACCGCACGTATCGTCTCTTCGAGCTGGATTGGTCTCTTTGACCAATAAAAATTAAATATTTTCAATCGCACCGAAGAATTAACCAATTATCATTTATTTATTATTTAAGAATAAATTTTTAAAATTAATTTTTAACAATTAATTGTGAAATTAATTTTTAATAATTAATTTCTTTTATTCAATTAATTAAATTATTAAGAATTATTTATTGAATCCTTGAGAATCCACGATCCCGGCATCCTTTATTTTTCTATCAAACTCTGATTAATTTAATTTACAAGTATAATCCTTATTTTGTTACTGTGCGTAGAATAAAATTTTTGTTTTATTACTTTAATTGTTTATAACTTTGAACAAAAGTTTATAACATTTGGAAAGAAATTAATTATTAAAGAGACGATAAATATTACCGGGTTGGAAATGATTTGTTTAAAACTGTTTGAATAAATCAGCATTAATTTGAATCGATATGAAAATATATATATATTCTTAATTGTAGATTTAAAAGAATAAACATGGTGTATAGTAGACTTAATTATTAGATTATTCTTTCTATTTGCAAACATCTCGTCAGATAAATCTTTCGTTTTAAAGATTCTTTGTTTTAACAGAAGTGCATTGTGCTTTTGCAGGCTCTTCTGTTTTAACTCTATCTGGGCATAGTTAGGGGAAAAATGGTGGCGTGTCTTCATGCTCCTGGCTCCACTTCTCTTTCCTCATCCTCATCCTTCACTTTTCTTCTCTCATCCTCATCCTTCACTTCTCTTCCCTCATCCTCATCCTCCATTTCTCTTCGTTGTCGGGTAGGAACGCGTAGATGAGTTAGATCCAGCCCCAGATATTCCAAGTCCTCCAGAATTTCCTCTAGATGTGGTTGTATCTCTGTGCGTTGACTGACTCGTTCTATGATAATTGCTTTGGGAATAGTGGTTGGTATTTCAGACATTTGATATCTGCCTTCTTCTCCCAGATCTTTGTCCTTTGTTGTAAGACTTACAGCAGCAAAATAAAGATCGGGATAATTGCGATAATGAAGTCGATCCACTCCCTCTAGAGGGAACAGCCTGATGTAGGGATACCTTTCCTTGTGCAGTGCCTTGAGGGCTAACACAGCCTTTTTCAGTTCTACTGCCTGATTCGCTATTGCTGGTAATAAAATTGCACTGCTCCCTGTCATAGGGAACGTTTCCATGATTTGCACCGACTGGAGGTCAAAATTTTTTAGAATCATTTTTACTTGTTCAATCATTTCCACTACAACAGCTTCCCTCTTATTGTCCTCCTCAAGGACTAGATTAAGAAGCGTCCTACGAAGTTTGGTTTTTGTTTTTATCCAATCCTGCCAGGTTACTATTGCACGAAAAATAGACATTTGCATGTTGTAATCTGTCTTTTCAAATATGTTGGCCATATTGGTTGTCGCACATAGTACTCGCCATTGGAATAAAAGATAGTCGTGGTTGGAATTCCTGTATCCTATATTATTAATCTTCTTGGCCATTGTCATTAATCCTGCCATTCCTATGAACATGAGTATGTGATCCGAAGCGATTGGACTGAGTATACATCTAGCAGGTGTACAGAATTGTTCCTTTGTTAACAGTTGACTGTAGAAAGGCACATCCTCAGGTCTCCATTTTAGGGTCCAGCAGATTGATGTTACCACAATATCTATATCCATCAGTGTGGAAGAAGCAGATTCATTAGATCTTAATTCAAGTTCCATTAGACAGGCATACTCAGGCATTATGTATCTTGCAACACCCTCCTCTTCTGTTTGAATTGGATCACGGATAACTTGATTTACTCTTGATCCCTCTATATCCCTATATACCTCTATATCCCTTACACCAGGTTGGGCCATGATTGTTAACTTCTTTCTTTCTTTGATTGTGATCTTCGTTTGCTCTTGTGCTTGTTGATCCAACCATAAACCGGAAGAATATAATTCTTGCCTTTTAATATGAATTAAAAGTATTTGATTCTAAAACAAAATTTATTTTTTTAGATATCTATTAATTCTAAATATTTGTATAATATATTTAATTGTACTAATATAAAACATTTTTTATTACACTGATTTTCTCACTTGTTTATGTGAATCATTTTTAATGCGGATTATGTAGCTTTATTAATTACCTAATTGCGCGCAATAATGTTTGTTGTTTTGATCGCATATACAGTTGGTCAGTTGCTATCAGATTCGGTTCCAAAAAGTCAGACTGATTTTTCACTCGAGCCAATAAATCCAATTCCAACCAGGCTTCCTTCCAACTCTTCCAAGCTTCGACGTCTGAACCCGTATAATCTGTACACAGTACACGCTACCGTTGATTATCCGTTTTTGTTGCGCAGCTTTTCTTATAATAAACAAAAGACAATCGGTAGCGCGTATAGAATAGGTGCCCTGGGGTGCGTTCAGAAATTCACATCATTTTATCCTTGTTATTCACCGAACAAGTTAAACAAGGATAAAATAATATCTAAATGCAAATCTGGACAAAGTTTCTGAACGCAACTCTGTTTTACCAGACGTGGTTTATCGACGTCATATTGAATTTTTATCTTTTAGTTCATATTTCTTGGAATCAGACTTTATGGCGCTAGAAACAGTCTTGCTTTCTATCTTGCTTCTGCTGCCGGCTGTTCGCTGTCCGCCGCCCGGTGTCACTGGCGTCAGTACTCCAGTCGTGATAAGTCAGCGGTGTGCCGGGTGTGCGTCGCGTCCATATGGTTGTGACTGGCGAACGCACGTGGGTTTTACCGTAATTGTGACAGTAGTATTTTCCATAAAATGTCAACGGTAAACGTGGAAGACGTGAAGCTGTTTCAGACCATCGGCCTGAGTGAGCAGAAGGCTAAGGAGACCTTAAAAAATGCGAACGTCACGAAGAATCTCAAACTGGCTATAAGCGAGGTTGGTTGTGAATTCACCGGCAAATCGGCAATCTCGTAACGATCAAACGTTACCAAATTTAATTATTAAAGTTTCCAAAATGTATAATCAGATTATCATTATATTACGTTTACGCTAGAATTGTTGCATCATTATTCTTTGATACGTAGTTTGCAATTACATCATACATTTTGCGTAATATATTTGTAATGAATTTAGTCTTCACTCATTTAATAGCAAAATGAATATTAGAATTTGCTTGTTTATTTATATTTTATATTTAATTTTTGTAGGCAGCTAAATATAGATCTATTCAAGATACTAAAATTTATTCTTAAAATTAATTTTAGTATCTTGTATCCTAAAATTAATTTTAGGATTTATTAATTAATTAATATCTCTATATTCTAAAATTATCAAAATTAAAGTAAATATTTCCAAGATGTATAATAGAAACATCATAATACTTAAGTTTAATGCATATACATGATGTATCATTTTATCCCATGCATCGTGCATGAAACGGAACGCATCTTATATTGCAATTCTCTAGAAGGGTTGCGTTATTCTTTGATAGTCTGCAATTACATCATACATTTTGTATAACATATTTAGATGATTTTAATTTTTATTTATTTAATGGCAAGATATATATTATTAGGAGTGGATTATTTATATGTATTTATATTTAATTTTTATAGGCAGCTAAACATGGATCTATTACTCAAGATACTGGCGTTTTGCTGTACCATCTAGCTTCCAAGATAAAAAATCAGATTGTGAATAAGATACCGTTTATTACTAATTACATAGTCGAGAAGAAACTAGACAGTGTACAGAGGGTGGATGCCGCGTTGGCTCATTTGTTGGCTAATGTGGGTAATAACGTTGACCTAGCTAAGTTTGAGGAATCTTGTGGTGTAGGAATAGTAGTTTTACCTGAACAAATTGAAGAGGAAGTCGAGAAGATCATAAAGGCACACAAAAATGAAATATTGGAAAAGAGGTGAGTGAATTTTACATATGTAAAATAGGAGAGAGAAAATGTTTATTTACAATTTTATTTTTACGAATTTTTTTTATCTAATTAGGTACCGCTTTAATGCTGGCCCATTGATGCAGCAAGTGCGCAATACTTTGAAATGGGCGGATGGTAAGGCGGTAAAGAACGAATTCGACGTCCAGCTTCTTGATCTATTGGGTCCGAAGGTCGACGCTGATCTCGCACCAGCACCTAAACCAGCGAAACAATCAAAGGACAAGCAGACGAAGGCAACCAAGCCAGAAGTTTCGAAGGAAGGTGAGTCATATGCATTGTATATTTTTATTGTATTACAAGCTTAGGCTTCCCAAAGCAGCTTTATACTGATACTTCATCTTTTGAGATGCATTTTCTCCTACTCTATTTCATTCTATATTTTAATTCTTATTTGTCTTATTAATTGCACTTCGATAAAATTATTACTATTAATATTCCTATTATTATTTACATATGTTGAAAGAATATTTTGAATGTTCATGTTCAACGGAAGATCGATAAATTTTCAGAGCAGAAGGAAGCACTGAGCAGTGAGAAGGCAGGGGCACAGACTATAAGTGAACTCATGAAGACCAAAGTTCACTTCCACAAGCCTGGGGAAAATTATAAGACTGACGGATACGTCGTGACACCAAATACGCATCATCTGCTGCAGAAGCATTTGAAAGCCACTGGTGGCAAAGTGGTAACGAGATTCCCGCCGGAACCCAATGGGATTTTACATATTGGACATGCGAAGGCTATCAATATCAACTTCGGGTACGCATTATATCTTCTTTGGTCTCGAGAGTGAAATGTATGTACATTGTAAAAGAGATGAATCCCACAGATACGCTGCTGCTTACGACGGTATTTGCTACTTGCGATACGACGACACCAACCCCGAAAAGGAAGAGGAGAAATTCTTCGTCGGTATACGGGATATGGTGGAGTGGCTTGGTTACAAACCGGCTATGATTACACACTCGTCAGATTACTTCCAGCAACTGTACGACTGGGCCGTTGAGCTTATAAAGAAAGGTTTAGCCTACGTTTGTCATCAGTCCAGTGAGGAGATGAAGGGTTTCAATCCTCCACCGAGCCCCTGGCGCGATAGGCCAGTTGAGGAGAGCCTGCGGCTGTTTAGTGTAATGAAAAATTTTTGTTTGACCGTATTGTTCTCTCTCCTATAATTTATTACTATGGCTTTGTTCCACTTAAGGCTCGCAACGCTTTTGAAATCATTTCCTTGTTTATCAAATGTTAAACAAGGACAAAAATGATGTTCGCGAGCGTTGTGAGCATTAAATGGAATGCAGCCTATATATAAACATTTGTCTGTTTTTATTTTGAAATAATAGGATATGAAGGCTGGTATGTTGGAAGAGGGCGAAGCGACCTTGCGTATGAAAGTGACTTTGGAGGAAGGCAAGCAAGACCCTGTTGCGTACAGGATAAAATACTCGCCGCATCACCGAACCGGCGACAAATGGTGCATCTATCCCACTTACGATTACACTCATTGCTTGTGCGATAGCATCGAGAATATTACTCATTCTCTCTGCACAAAGGAGTTCCAATCGCGGAGATCGTCTTATTACTGGCTGTGCAACTCCTTGGACATTTATTGCCCCGTTCAGTGGGAATATGGCCGAATGAACGTCAATTATACTGTAGTTTCCAAGAGGAAAATTGCTAAATTAATACAAGAAGGAATAGTGTCTGATTGGGATGATCCCAGGTACAGTGTAATGAATAATACCTTCATCGTATTATATAATGATAATTTTATACAAGGCCGATATATGTATACAATAACTAATGAAGCGGAAAGAGCTATACGGTCGAAATGTTGGTTGCAATAATATTCTTAATTTTTAATCTTAAATTTCTGGTGTAGTAAACCGCGTGCCGATTACTGTCGGTCTTTAAGAATGCAGTCACAACTTAAAGCTATCTATTAAGTCGATCTTTGATTTGATGATGATTTATTAATAATTGTTGATTTTACTGATCTTTTAAATCGATCTTCGATTTGATAATGTCGCTTTATTAATAATTTTTGGCTTTACTGATGTGTCATCACCTTTTTTTTTTATAGATTATTTACGTTAACTGCGCTACGTAGACGTGGATTTCCGCCGGAAGCTATAAACAATTTTTGCGCTCAAATGGGTGTAACTGGTGCACAAGCGACCGTTGATCCCGCGACGTTGGAAGCGGCCGTTCGGGACGTTTTAAATCTCACCGCTCCCCGGCATATGGTGGTTCTAGAACCTATCAAATTGACGATCAGAAATTTCCCTCAAGAGAAAGCGATGAGACTTACTGTACCCAATTTTCCCAACGAGCCAGAGAGAGGTCAGCACGAGATTACATTTGACGAGATTGTATATATTGAAGCCACGGACTTCAAAGAGGTATGTAACAGGTATTTCCGAAAAACTTTACGAAAAATTTTTATTTTATCAATATACTTGCAGATTGAAGAGAAAGGTTTCAGACGCTTGACACCGAAACAGCCAGTAGGCTTGAAGCATACAGGCACCGTAATAACGTTCGAAAGCATCGAGAAGGACGCCAGTGGTAACATTACGAACATAGTTGTTAAACAAGATCTTGTCTCGGAGAAGAATAAACCGAAGGCATTTATACATTGGGTGTCCAATCCGGTATTGGCATCCGTTAGACTGTACGAGCGCCTGTGAGTAACGTTTCCTCCGAGTTATTGATTGTTAATTACGAAAAAGTCTTATACTCTGTGATGTAATTAAAAATATCTTCAATTCTCTCTCAGATTTAAGCACAAAAATCCGGAAGATACGAACGAGGTACCGCATGGATTTTTGAGCGACATCAATCCATCCAGCAAAAAGGAAATTGTGGCGTACATGGACGGTAGTCTAGCTGAAACAGCGAAAGTGTTCGACAAGTTTCAGTTTGAACGTATAGGTTTTTTCTCCGTCGATCCCGATACCAAGCCTAAGAAGGTAAGCGTGAAAGCATCAGCACACACATACACAGTCGTGGACATATCGGTTACAACACTTTTTTTTCCAAGTTTTTAGTATATATTTAATATACATGTATATAATATATATTTTATAGGTAACTAATATTTTGCAAATGTGAACCACGATGGTGTACTATCTTTAGTCAAGAGATAGTACACCAATCGTGATTAGCATTTGCAAAATATTAGTGCGTTTCGAAACCTATTAAAAAAAAAAGTGTTGCAACCATGATATGTCCATGACTGTATGTACAATTGCATTAACATTCTTTCTTTTGTTTATTTCAGCTCGTTTTCAATCGCACTGTGACATTGAAGGAAGATACAGGAAAGATATAAATATATATTTTTCAAGTTAGTATTGTATCGCCAAAAAACATCTACTATTTTTGCTATTGTACTTTTTCTACGCTGAGGCAAAAAATGCGTGCTTTATTGCGTGACAGCAAACAGTTTTGTTATGTCAGAGACTTTATTTTTTTTTCTTTTTTATAAAGTTTTTCTGAAAGAGAAGCATGTCATTTGTATGATATAATACGTTATCTTTAATTTCAAGTTCCAAACGATTAATATATATATTTATTATATATACATATATATTGAAATATCTTTTTTATTACATTCCCAAGGAGAAATACCTTCGGTTTGTAAACGTCGATTCAATATCTGTAGATATCGATTCGATGTCGATGTTTGTAGACGGCGAATCAACGTCTATAAATCGATTATTTCGCCTTGGGTTCATGTTATGTATAACTTATCTTAAATTTTGCATGCATTTTGATCTTGTGATAGTTATATTTTCACGAATAAAGAATTAAGATCTATTAAAAGGATTGCAGCGTCATTTTCCATCTAATTCATCATACAGGATTCGTAGGTGGGGACCATGTATTTGATGTTTATGAAGGCATCCTCACCACCGTATCTTTCCAAGATTTCGAGCGTTTCTTGTATAACATCCGCCGCGTTCTCTCCCCTTTGCTGAGAATAATCGATACCCTCGCCAAGATTTACTGTAGGAAAAAAAAATCAGAAATGTTTCTATCTCAACACAAGAAACGTTGAGCAACAAGTGCGCTTACCATTTCTGTCTTTGAGTAAGTTCGGGATTGGCAAGATTTGCCGAAAATACGGGACCAAGGCTTCACCGACGCAATCGGCCGATCGCACCAGACGTTGAATTGCCTTCATGGTGGCGCAGATTATCTCGGGCATTCTTGTATTCAGAGCGTCTAGCGAGGTCTTTCTTTAATTACAGCGTGAATATTTTTTTTTCTACATTAAATCTTAGATTGCAGAACTTACTTTTAATAGGAATAATCAATTGGGGGACGACGGGCAAGATCTTCGGCCCGCCGTGCTCCAGCATATCCGATATTCCTTGCTCCACCAGAAACTTGTACGGCTGCTCGGTTTCCGTTAATCCGTCGAAGAACATCGGCAGGTAGTGATGGAAATCCAGATCTTCTATGTTGTCCACCTTCCAATTAATTTTCTGATCGTAGCCGTCGTTCTCCAACGAGATGGGGAATACGCCGCGCTTGTAAAACTTCCGGAAAGTCGACGGCTTCGGCGGGCGGGGTTTGTACAGTCCGCATTGCGGGGGTTTCGCGACAACCGTGTTTTCCTGCGAAATCGAAATTAACACCGTATTACAGCGCGTTGCACTGGCACTAGTTTACACCGAGCATTTGATACGCTTACTAACTAGTAACTTTCTATTAAATTTTTTTAATTTCGACGATGCATATATAAACTTATACATGATATATGTATTTAATTAATCATATTAATGCATAATATATCAACTTAGTACATCATTCTTTAAATTTATTGTAGAAATTAAGATAATTTAATAGAAAGTTTCTAGTTAGTACGCGTATCAAGTGCTTAAACTAGGCCACTGAGAGAAAAATTTTTTGTATTTGTAACTATATTTGCAAAGTACTATAATTATGTGATTATTACTACCAGAATATTAATAATAATAATTATATGCATAGTTTTATCAACCAATATATATAGTTGACATCAACAAAGTTTTAAAACTTATATATTATAGTTATTATTGCCATAAAAATGGTGGCAATTACCATAAAAATTAATTAATTGTAATCATTTTTATGGCAATAACTATAATAATATATAGTAAGTTTTAAAATTTGTTGATGTCAACTATATCTATTGGTTGCTAAAACTATATATATAATTATTATTATTAATATTATAGTAGTAATAATCACATAATTATAGTACCTACTTTGCAAATATAGTTACAAATACAAAAAATTTGTCTTTCAGTGTACGTTCATCCTGACTCATCGTCATTCATCGTTAATGACATGTTACCTGCAATGCCTGAATCGTGAAGGCAGGAACCACTCGCGGCTTCCTCTTTTTGTATCGTGGAATATCTTTTCGTACCTCCGTCCAAAATTCTTTCTCATTCACCATTCCGTTGCTCGACGTCTCTCTTTCAATATGGAGTTCAAATTACACGTTAAACATTTTCGTTCGAGTGTTGTTGACAGATTATATGCGCGCGAAGATGTGGGTAGGACACGAATTTAGATCAAACAAGTACTGCGTCTCCTAGCAACAAAATTTCTATTGACATCTATTTATATCATACAGATGATACAGATAGATACTATTGATACAAGTCACTTTGGTCACTTTATAAAAGTATATAATACTTTTATACACGACGCAAGACATGCTTTTATATATGCAAAGACTTCCTTATGGAGAGCTTTCTACACACAGAGCTCCTATGGGTATGAAATTCCACATCTAGAATTCGGGGTATTTAAAAATATTTTAATTTTTGACAAGTTTTAAGAAATTTGTGAAATTTGAATGATTTGAGAAAGAACAGTATTTAACTATTTTTGCCCCTATATACTATGTGTATACATATTTCGCACATACAATAAAATTCAATATGTACAATAAAAGAAATAAAATATTTGTATGTATTGAAATCATCCCTCCGCTTGAATGAGGTACTCCACACCCAGAAAAATCAAAAATCTCCATCCCTGTTTTTTATATGTACCTATATATACAATCACAGACATTGTAGACATCAATTAAATATTTTATACATAAGTGAACATGATTATAAGAATTAATAATATAATGATTGCACAGTGAAAGGATATTTTAACAAAATTTATTTTAACAAAATAATTTTTTCTTGTCATTAAATGTAAAATTTTATTAACATTTTATTATTAACATTAAGTTTGTAATGTTGGACGCGGCCGTATTCGTTGAAATCGTCGTCCAGAACGGAGTGGCTTGTGAAACTGCGGATCATCAAACAGAAGGTCCCTTTTGATCGGTTCGTCCTTGTTCGCTGTGTTTAATTATTAAGGAAAATAATGAGTATATCAAGTTATGAACATCTATCAATTATGTGTTTCCTTCTTTTTTTAATGAAAAAATATAAGTTAACTTTTTGCATATATATAATATGAAAAGGATATTTGTGAAGCAGCTTGAAGATTCCCGTGCCCAGTGGGACTGGAATACCCATTATAATCGACTCTGATACGCCGCATATAATGTCCTTTTGCCCGTAATAAGCCGCATCAAATAGGTGATCCGCCGTTTTCTCAAACTGCAAATAAGTGACTAGTTTGCGACAAGTATTCTTAATTTTTCTTAAAATACTATTCAAATTCAAAGACTAATTGGAGGAACTAAGCTTAACTTAATTCTTATACAGGGTGGGTACTATCGAGAAAAATCAGGAAAACCTGGAATTCTCAGGGAATTTCATTTTTACTCTTGAAAATCATGAATTCTCATGAAATTTTACTGGTACTCAGGGAAATTTTTTGAATTTTTTAAATTTAATTTTATCCCTTTAGAAAGTAAACGTGGCCCCATAACAAAGGTCCCTGATATTGAAAGTTAATTCATTTTAAATTGACATATATTATATGAAGACTCCAATCTAAGAAACGATAATCCGGAAATAAATCAGGCATTAAGAATCTAATAACGCAGAACTTGTTGCATGAAACCATTTAATCTTCACATATGTAGTTACATCTCCATACAGAATCTTTCGTTACGTTCGAAAAATTTTGTATGGAGATGTAACTATTGTACATATGAGAAGATTAAATTGTTTTGCGCATCAAGTTCTATACGTTATTAAAACTCTTAGTGCCTAATTTATTTTAAAGCTGTATTGAGAAATTCTCTAATCTTACCTGAAATTTTGAATAAAATTTCAGGTAAGATTAGAGAATTTCTCAATACAGCTTTAAAATTCCTGGAAAATCTGGGAATTTTCAGGGAATTCTTTTACAAAATTTGAGTACCCACCCTGTTATATTGTAAGTGTAAGAAGCAAGTAAAATAGATGATATAAATAATAAAGATAATGGGAAAAACTCACCGATGCCAAGTTCAAAACCGACTCCTTCATTTTTGCCAAGCCCTGCCGCGTGATACCAAGCACTTCGCCTCGGCTGGTCATCAAATCAGCCAAGAGCATTAAGTGCCGTCGATCAATGCTGATCCCGTGATTTTCCATTACCGACTTAATCTCCGACATGATGGTCGTTCTCGCTGCTTCTATCCCGAGCGTTTTGAAAACCTACGATTGAAATAGACGATTATAAATGTCTTGTTCAACAACTTGCAACTTGATTCCTTTCAACTCACTTCTATCGTATTGTTCGATTTCGTCTTCTCGCCAATGATGCCAGGTGTTGCCATAACTTCTCTAAAATTACCTCCTTCGACAAATAGGGTAAATTTCGTTTTACCACCGAGGTTTTCATTATGCACAACCACCCTACTGATCGATGGCAAGCCCTAAAAGTAAAAAATTTAGATGCACATCAAATGCTTTCTGTATTCTACAAAATTTGCATTTTACAGAAATACGTCGTATTTTTACCTGTACTACAACATTTGGAAGGGCCTCCGTCAGTTGGCGAAATGGAAAATTTAAACGGTCTTTAGGTCGATTTGGTCGAATAGCAATAAAGTCTTTGCCTATCACTTCTAGGTTCTTTGATGTCAGCTTCAATTTTGAAGTGCAGAGTCTAGGAAGTCACAAATCATTTGTCTTCATTCAAAAAATATACCAATAGCAAATTACTCTTAAACTTAAAATGTATATCATTAAAATTGTATTTTTTTTCACTGTAGCTTCCGACAAAAGACTGAGTTACAGCATCAGAAAAAAATTAGAATTTTTATTCTTTCGATATTGGAAATTAAATTAAAGCTTGAAAAGATAAAAGTTTTAAGCCTTTAAACTATATACTTGTAATATACACTTACGTATAGGACACAGAATAAGCATCAATTTTTAATTTCAACAATTTAATCCTATCGAGATCTAATTTTATTAAAAGGAAATGGTCATCGCGCAAATATATCTCCTCGATATATTGAGCCACATCTCCCAGGGTCGTCTTCTCGATTTTCGCCTTCACTCGCTCGGCAAAATCGCAATCCGTATCGTTGACCTGCATGACAAAAGATTAATTCAAGTCCGCGTATCCCGCCGGCCTAATTACTTAGAACACGCTGCGCGTTCGAAGCGATTATTTACCAATGTCGCTGTGATGATGGGAGTGCTGATCTTCGGACTCGCGTTAATAATCTCCTTGATACGCGGCACACCCTGCGTGATGTTCATGGCCGCTACACCGGCGAAGTGGAACGTTTTGAGGGTCATCTGAGTGCCCGGCTCGCCAATACTCTGCGCGGCGAGCGCGCCCACGGCCGTGCCCGGCTCTATCTTGGCTCGCATGTACTTCTCCTTGCACGTGTGAATGAACTCGACCAATTGGGAGACGGTGAAACGCTCGAGTTGCGAGACCACCGGCGAATTCGATGTAACATTCTGCCGATAATGCGCTATCTTTCGCGCCACCGATTTCAGGAATACCCTGCGAAAATGTACAATTCGTTCAATTCGTCGCGAAGCTGCGCCACGAAAATTTCGTCGTGTTATCGTGCATCTATCGTAAATATGTATCGTCTTACATCAGTTCCTTTTTGAATTCGTCGTCCAGGCAGTCGTACTCCTCGGAGGACAGCATCTCCTTCGCGGCATTGATCACGCTGGGAGCGTCCAAAGGTGCTTCGGTTTTATAAGGCATTTTCGCCTTCACGTGATCGTACACCCTTTCGTAGTCCACGGGACAGTCCTTACCTGTAGAAAAACAGAAATATGTACCACTCTGTTTACACGAAATCATAGAGGTGTGCGAATCAAGCATTTGCATGGCCGAATCGAATTTCTGATAACATGTTCGAAATCGAATACGAGTCGAATCTGAATCAAATTTTCCCAGATTTACATCACATGTTAATTTAAACGTAATAAATATCAAAATTTATGATTACATTATTTATGAATTACATTATTTTACGCCATGATTTAAGCAAACTGAAGACCCGTTTTCGATTTACATCTCATTACAAAGGATCGTGATCTTATGTGACATTTTAAACTAGAAGATATGTAATTAATAATATGTGTACATCACGAATAATTAGTTTCCAAGTATCTTCTATGTTAATCTATATAAATACATTACATACATCAAAAATACTTATTTATCAGATAAGAATAATTGGTCGCGCGGGAGATATAAATGAAGCAAATAAAATAGGCGATCGATTCGAAATCGAACCATTGTTGATTCTAGAGGTGTGCGAATAGTTCGAATTCGAATCGAATCGAATCGAATCACAGTAGATTCGATTCGATTCATTTTCGAATCTGCAAGATTCGAAATCGAATAGTTCGAGAATTTCGAATCAACAATGGTTCGATTTCGAATTAATCGCCTAATGTAATGTTAATCTGGGAAAATTTGATTTAAATTCGATTCGTATTCGAATTAAAGAGATTCGATTCGATTGGATTCGAAGTAAAAATTTCAGATTCGATTCGATTCGATTCCGAACATGTTATAAAAATTCGATTCGATTCGATTCGATCATGCAAATGCTTGATTCGCACACCTCTAGTTGATTCGAAATTCTCGAACTATTCGATTTCGAATCTTACTGATTCGAAAACGAACTCGAATCGAATCCAAACTATTCGCAAACACCTCTACGCGAAATGCACGACAGACGTACCCTCCATGTACGTGGGATCCAATCCGTCCCCGCCATACGGAATCTGTATGATATTGCACATCGAATTGCGCACCGTCATGTCGTAATGGATGCAGAGGTCCTCTAAACTCTTGATCAGTCGCCTCTGCATGTATCCGGTCTCCGCGGTTTTCACCGCGGTATCCGTGAGACCCTCCCGACCGCCCATCGCGTGAAAGTAGAATTCCTTGGACACCAGCCCCGAGTAAAACGAATTTTCCACGAAGCCCTTGGCATCCGGCGTCCTCAGTAGCGCGGGGACGTGCGGCAACGCACGATTCTCGAATCCGTTCGGTACTCTACGCCCGTTGATAGCCTGCTGACCGACGCAAGCTGAAGAGAGGAATTTAATGGTGTTAAAACGAGTAAAGAAATAATATATGATTACACAGTTCAATAAAAACATTTAAAAAAAAAACCATAACTGGACTAGTCATTTTCTGTAGTTTTTTGAACGCTGAATCCGAATCCGCTTGTAGAATTGCTCTATCATGTCACAATTTTGAGAAACTTGCAGATAAAGTTGCAAAAAGGATTATTTTCACATTTTGTCGTATTGTAACTTTGAAATGCGATGTGCTAGAGAAGTGTTCGTGCGCTTGAAATTAAATATGTTGTTAGGACTTTCAAAGGAATTTTGTGTTTGTTATGGTTAAAGAGTTATTTATTGTTAAACATGGGGTCTATTGCGAAAGAACTGTGAATTAAATCATTGACAAATATTAATAAGAGGCCGTAAACGAGCAAATTTCGTATACTAACAATTATATCAAAGTGTGCAGATATCTATAAATGCGGTACTAGTTTCGACTTGACTGCAGTCTTCATCAGTGGCTAAATAATAAATACTTAATACATAATTACATAAAAAACTTTAAATAATAAATAAGTAAAACGCGGATATAGTTCATGTCAACGTAGTCTGTCAGTAATTAAAAATTGATATAACAATGAATAAAACAAAACGCAATATAATATACTCCTATCGTCATAATTGATATAAAATGAAGTAATAAAATAAAACGCAATATAACATAACTCATAGCATCAAAGTCATGAACACGAACGATCTGTAATTTTTCTTCGTCATCTTTAACATGTCCCTCTGTTCGTCCGTAATTAATCAAAAAGAGAATATGGGAACACCGGTAATTCTGTGATAAAGCAGGAGGCAGTGCTATGAGTTATATTATATTGGGTTTTATTTTATTACTTCGTTGTTTTATATCAATTATTTTATTACTTCGTTGTTTTATATCAATTATTGACGATAGGAGTATATTATATTGCGTTTCGTTTTATTCAATGTTATATCAATTTTTAATTACTGACAGACTACGTTGACATGAACTCCGCGTTTTACTTATTTATTATTTAAAGTTTTTTTATGTAATCATGTATTAAGTATTTATTGTTTGTTTAGCGGCTGATGAAGACTGCAATCAAGTCGAAACTAGTACCGCATTTATAGATATCTTGATATAATGAAATATAATTGTTAGTACACCCACGAAATTTGCTCGTTTACGGCGTCTTATTAATATTTGTCTTTGTGATTGCGAGCGATATTTAGATTATTGATAAATCACTGACAATTTCCAAACAGTAAAACATTTACCAAACGTATAAAAATTCTCCAGATTTATTTGTTACTTTTTAAAAAATTAAGTACTCAAAAACGTAACATATATTTGATATGTTACATTTCGAAGTTACATAATGACAAAATATGTGAAAATAGCCCTTTTTTGCAACTTTATCTGCAAGTTTCTCAAAATTGTGACGTAACAGAGCCATTCTACAAGCGGATTCAACGCCCAAAAAAACTACGAAAAATGACTAGTCCAGTTATAGTCGAGAAAAATCTTTTTTTTTTTTAATTGAACAGTGTTATCATATAATTAGCACTTGAACGTACCTATCATTTGGGATATGTTGATGAAGCTACCCTTGCTGCCACAAAGAGCCATAGTTAGTGCAGTGTTGGTGGGATGCAGTTCCTTCAAGCACGCTTTACCAACGTTGTCACGGATCACCGAGAGTTCGTTCAGGATTCTCGTCTCGAGTGTCTCCTCCTCCGAGCATCCAGGTTGACAGACGAGACTGCCCTTCTCCATCAGCTGAATGTACTCGTTACATGTGGTGTAACTGGACAAGCACAATTGTGGATTAGCTAACTGGTTTGAGGCGCAGCCTTTCGAGCTTTAAAACTTGAAATTATTCGTACTGAGTGTGTAAAACTTTTTCCTTGGCCCGCAGCAGGCCTTGACTGGGTATGAGGTCTCCGATACCGAGGGAAATTCCTCTCTCGAAATTGAAGTGATTCGTTATTCTGGTTAAACGCCACATAGCCGCGGTCGCAATATCCTCCCCCCAATCGCGCAGCAGAACGTAAAATATATTCTGCTTCGAGCCTGAGCCCAATACAGATTTATCCAGTGTCCCCGCCAGAAGCTCGGAGTTGCGAATGATAACATCTGTGAATTCAATTTGGTCGTTATTAACGTAACGTAAACGATAAGATTACGATATATTCACAACTGCAACTTACAAGAGTCATTAACACATAATTCTTTTCCGGTGGTGTAGGTTTTGCCCTTCGTCTTTAGATTCGCCTTGACGGGACATTCCGCGTTCGGGCGTAAAATCAGGCTGAATATTTGCTTGCCGGTCCACAGCCTCGCCGGTTTTACGATCGCGGGCGGGGGAAGAGTCACGACCAGAGAAGCGTCCGGGCCGGCTAAGATGCAAAGTGCTAATCTAGCCTGTTCTAGCTGGAGAAACGTGTCCTTTTGGGTCAACAGATAAGCACCGGTGATAAAATCTTGTGTTGCTGCTATCAATAAGTCACCGTTACGCGGTGTGACCAGGTTCGATTTATTCTACAAGCAAAAAGAAGACAACGTTTCAGCACATTCATTCGCGCAATTTAATAATTCTATCAAAGTATATTAATCAGCCATTAATTTACCGCTAGCAATAGAATTAAATTGACAGATTAGTAGGACTTTATCTGCGGGAAATAAATAAAAGGAAAAGAAATAAGTTGTAAAATTTGAAGTAAAATGACAGGTAAATTAGGAGTTGATATGTATAAAGTATGTAAATCATAGGAATGAAAAATAGAAAAAAAATGTCAAGGTTAAGTGTAACAGAGTAGGGGTAAAAATTATTTAGAAGTATAAAGAGTGATGTAAGATAAAATAGAAATGTGGGAAGTGGATAGGAAAAGAGGTCCCTTCTTTGGTTAATAGCGAATGCCGGAACGAGGGCTCAGATGGCTAAGGAAGGAAAAATGAAAATATTAAAGATGGAATGAGGAGAATACAAGAAAATGTGAACGTATAGGATAAGAATAGTTATAGAAGAAGTTATAGAGATAAAGAGAAGGTTTAGAATGTTTAGGAGAAAGAGGTTGTATAAGATAAATAGGATAACGCCGAATAGAGAAAGAAGATTGATATACAGGGTATCCCAAAATTCGTGAATCAAAATATCATAGCAAGAAAGTCTTCGAAAAATTAAGTAAAAAAGTTATTTGTAAATTTTTATTTTAAGCAATAGTTTTTGAGATACAAAGGTTTAAATTTAGCTAATTATAGATTAGTTAGATTAGTACTTGCGTGAAGTGCTGCGCGACCACTAAACTATCTACGCGCTCACGGACATGTTTCTGTTTAATCGTAATATATAATTGGCTAAATTTAATCTCTTATATCTCAAAAACTGTTTAAATTAAAAATTTACAAATAACTTTTTTACTTAATTTTTCGAGAATTTTCGCGCTAATATTTTGATTTGCGAATTTCGGGACATCCTGTATATATAGGGTACAGGAGAGATTTTGGAAAGACTAAAGGTAGAATGAGAATACAAGGTAAGTATAAGTATAGGATAATATGAATTGTATACAAAAGATATAGAAATATTTAGAAGAGTTATGTTTAGAAGAAAGAAAATAGGAATAGAGAAAAGACAGTATTGTGCACGATGTGATTATAGGTAGGTAATTTAGATTTTTAAACGCCAAAAATAAAAGGAATGGATGGATGTGTGTGGATAAGTAAACGCTTAAAAATATATGGCTATGGCTTTTGTGTAAGCTAGAAGTAATAAAATTTCTTCTCTTCTATTTACCGCTAGCAAAACCAGCGCTTCTGCTCTAGCCTCCTCGGTTTGCGGTAAATGTAAATTCATTTCATCGCCGTCGAAATCCGAATTGTACGGATTACAGACGCACTCGTTGAACCGGAACGTCCGATGTTCCATTATTTTGGTCCTATGTGTCATGATGCTCAATTTGTGCAGAGATGGTTGCCGATTGAACAGCACCAAGTCATTGTCTTTGAGATGCCTCTCGACAATGTCACCATACTGTAAAAAAAAAACAATACGTTAAAATGATTAAA